TTTTTTTTTTTTTTTTAAAAAAAAAAAAAATGTGCGATTGAAAAAAAATTTCGTCTTTTTATTTTGTTGTTTTTAAAAAAAATCATTCCGTCTTTTTAGTTTTTAAAAAAATTATTTCGACTTTTTATTTTTTAAAAAAATTATTTCGACTTTGATTTGTTTTTAGATACGTTTTCCCTCCTTACGATTTTATTTAAAATTTGCCCTCTTTAAGATTATTTGCCCCTTTACGAATCTATTTTAAGATTATTATTTTAAATTATTAAGTTATTATAAGTTATTAAGGTTTTTTAAGCTATTAAGCTAAAAAACATATATAAGTTATTATTAAGGTTTTTAAGTTATTATTTATTAAGCTAAAAAACATATATAAGTTATTATTAAGATTTTTTAAGTTATTAAGCTAAAATCAAGATATTAAGATTTTCTAAGATTTTATTTAAGATTTCAATTAAGATTATGTTTTATTATGATATGATTTTTTTTTATTTTTTATGACGCGTTTTTTTATGATACATCTTTTATTACGTAATAAATAAATAAAAAATATATGAATTATATATCTGATATACTATGAATAAATAAATAAATATATATAAATATACGTTATTTTTATTTCAATATTTCTAAAAAAAAAATTGATTTGCTGATTGTTTTATAGATGATCGATTTTGCCATGGCTCATATGAATTTTTTTCTCTTTTCATAAAAAGTAAAAAAAAAACACATTTATCCCGTATTTATACATAATATATTAAATGTTTCTTAATTTTGACAGGAATTAACCATATTAAAAAAACATCTAACACCTGATCACTGATGTAATACATGATAAAAATAGATTACTATTTTTGGTATCTCCTCAAAAATTAATCTGGGAATATTTTTTTAATATAAACTTATTATACAGTATATTAAAATTATCATACAAACATTATATTGCGTTTTTAATAATAATTAATGTTTAACAAATACTAAAATTTTAATTTCATGTTCGTGAAATAATTTTATATTTGATAATTTTTTTTTTACATATTTTTAAATTTTTACAAATTATATACAAATATCGGTATAAATAATTTTGATATGATTACTTTTCAAAGATTCTAGATTAAAGATGCCAAAAATAGTAACCTATTTTTATCACGGGTGTGCTCTACATCTATCATTCCGTTACTAAATAAGCCACACAAAGGCAAGTCCCGGGTTGTTGGTTAAATAAATGAACTCGCCGATCATTACTTCATTTACTTCATTTACTTCATTTAAAGGAGTACGCGTGTGGCGCGTCTGATTCCAGGCATTACACGCATTAACATTTATACATTTTACACGTATTACACGTATTACACGTATTACACATAATTTGCGACCCGGCAAAGTTCAGTTATCGGAAAAAAATCGTGTGTCTAAATCAGAGCTGCAAGGTTAACATTGTTAATGACGATTAACTGTTTATTTTTTTGACAATGATACTTTTTCCAGTTTCCACTCCTTCAAAAAATTTTTTTAACGCGCGCTAAAAATGATGATAATTGACATTATTCTCAATGAATTTTTCTATAACTTACGTCATAAATTCTGTAACCAAAAAATTATCCTATGATGAATTTAGTAATCCAAATGATTTTCCTTAAGCTGACATTTTTTTTTTTTTTTTTTTTTTTTCTTTCAAAAAAAGAAAATAACTCGGATATTTTCCAACCTTTTCTTTGGAAAATTAGAAAATTAATTGCATTATGTAACACCATATGTTAATGTCAATCAAATCTAAAAAACTTAACAATAACTTTCTCTATTACTGCGTTCTGTGCTGATCTTTACCCTTTAAAATTTTATATTTTTTATTTTTAAAACAAAATATAAATATGGCTTTTCGTTTAGATGAATTCCTCCCTTGAGAATCGGCTTTTCAAAGCAATTTTTTTTTTAAAAAAAAAATTTTCTAAAGTATTTTTTTTTTTCGTCTATTAAAAAAAAATGCCACGAAAAGCTAATGAACGTCAAGGCTTCCACGTGTTCAGTATAAACGATGACGTAGCTAGACCGCCGCCACAACAGCCCGAACCAAATTTCGCCACCATCATTGACTATGAAAATGATTTTAAGATTTTGAATTCTGCGCATCATCAATTAACCCTTGATATCTCAACGCTTCTTAATAATTCCAAGACATCCCGCCGAGCAGCTAAGCTCAGACGAGAAGGGAAGCTGGAAGCTCCCCGCCCCCAAAATGCGTGGATCTTGTATCGAAAAGATACCAACGCTAGGTTTCGACAAACAGGGGAACATGAAGGAAAAAAATCCTCATTGATATCACAGATTATCGCAGAAATGTGGGAGAATGAGAGAGATGAAGTTAAAAAAATGTTTTTTGTACTTGCAAAATGGGCTGGTTACGTTCATAAGGAAGTGAATGACGAATATAGGTATTCCCCGAGAAGATCTGGGGAAAGGAGCCCCGAAACTTTACCTGGAGACCCTTTAGTTAATTATGAATTCGATCCAAACTTAAGTAATTTAAGTTCACCTTATCCCGAACATCCAATCACCGAATTTCCTGAATATCCAATCCCCATTCCTTTCGAATTTCCCCAAACATTTTATTTTCCCGATTCCGGAACTGAAGAAATTCATGTTCCATACGTATTAGTACCATCATCAACCGAGATGATTTACTTTCCCGACTATGACGTATATTTACCCTCCCTATATCTTTGTGATATAGATTATATGATATAAACAATTCATTATAAATCTAACCTTTAGTCATACTTGGTTCCCAGAATTCCCTCTCACAGACACAATCTTTTTTTGTTTTGAGTTTCGAAATATGTAATTTCTTTTTTTTTTTTTAAAAAAAAAAAAAATGT